GTCATGTCGACTGCCTCTTTTTTCTTCCCTTTGCCTTTTTGTAACCGATGCCTTAATAAATCCTTACAATTTAATTTAGATCTTCGTTTTTTCAGTACGCAAACTTCAAAGACATTGTAAAGTATTTTATAAAATTCAGCTATCGCCAAAACTACTTCATCTTAGTAAATGACTATACCAATTTGCTTGTGGGCTTTCTTCCCTTTCTCTATATCTATCTTTATATATAATATCCCAGACAGCTTGTGGATCAAATTTAGTGGGTTCGATATATTCATTACTTTTGTGTGAATTTAGTTTTGTCTCTATATCCAGCAGAGGGTGATATCCCTACGTCTAGAAGTGGATAACAGGAGTCAATATTAAAAATACCACCAGCCTTAACGGCATTTACTTCCACTGCACAGTCAACAGGCCTTGAAACTTACCTCCAAATATATTGCAAACATAAATCATATCACACGTACTTCAAAATGATAAAAAGTAACAAAATAGCTACAAATATTTTTTGAGGCACTGTTTAGCTTAAGAAAGAAGGTTTAAAGGTCTAGAAAGGGATAGAATTTTAATTGCAACAAATTTTATGTTCCTTATCGTTCAAATTAATAAAAAAATGTTTACTGTAATAGACTCAATACAATGCAATATAAGTTTATCGACACGATACATAGAAAATTAAGTCGGAACCGACGCTATTAAGTAGATTTAATCAATTAAATGTGCGATTTATTTTGTTATATCCACTCCACACCACTTACTTGAGTAACCATAATAAAAGCTCTAATACTTGTATGAAAAACAAATAAATTAAATGGTAATTGATGATTATTTTATAAGATCTAAATGACGCCACACTACGAGACCTCACCTAGGCGAAGCCGGGTTTGGTCCCTAGTCTATAGATACCCTAGTATATATAAATATAAGCAGTTACGAAAAAAGGTTTTCTAATATGATTAAAACAAATATTTTAATAACTGTATCTCTCCGCAGCACTAGCGGAAGCTGTTATACTTATATGGTTAAACGAACTTACCTTAAGTGAAGTTCAACCATAATTATACGAAACTCCTTGTCCTAGACATTCTTAACAATTGTAGTACGCCACATTCCATGCCATCATCACAATTTATCCAAGCTCGCTAAAAAATCTGGCAACACTGTATCAACCCGTCCGTCAATGCAACTTTGTTTATGTTTAAAGCAAGGAATTAGATGAGCAACCCTAACCCAGGGAGGGTTGGGCCGGTAGTACCATCTAGGACAAGGAGCTTCGTATAATTATGGTTGAACTTCACTTAAGGTAAGTTCGTTTAACCATTTAATTATACTCCCTCCTTGTCCTAGACATTCTTAACAATTGTAGATGTTTGAAGGCAGGGTTGCGAATTTATAATGCCAATGAAAGGATATTTGCAATTTCCCTCATTTTATAAAAAATGTTGAACATATTGCCTGTAAAGTAAATTTAAATTAATAACATAAATAAATTATCGTTATTTCATAACATTTCCTTATAAACATAAGGCAAGCTTGATTGCAGCAGAAGTGGCCCTGTGGAAGAATTATGACTGAAAAAGAAAACAATCTGGAATATCTGTTCCAGTTTAATTTATAATAAATTTTAATTTAACATCTTATAGCTTACTAACTTACTTAATAAAAACTATTCTAAGTGGGTTAAATTTATCACTATCTTGTGTTCTGTTTTCTATTAAAATATTCACAAGAAAGGCTCAACCGCTTCTCATTTATTTTTTCCCATGCAAACCCTGTTCAAGTGAAATTCTATCTATATCTTAACTATACATCTGAGCTCCCGTTTGAATAAATGTAATATTTGTTGAAGGACAATGTATGTATATTATAACCTATAGCTCATCACTGCTCAGCTTGTTACTAGTTTTTGTAAATTTCTGTATTCTCAATATTTATTGCAATATTCTGTAGTTAATAATCTAAAAGTAACTTATTATTAAGTCTATTTTTATAGCTCAAACCTAAGTAAAAGGCACAAAAGCCCAGGAAGGAATTTCATTACACTTACTACAATTTGGTACGATAAAGAATTTATTATTTTATAATTTATAGTATTTGACATAGGAGAGTTCACTATAATTCTTAGTATGAATTTTGGAGTGAAACTTGGAGTGCCATATTTTACAAAATACTTCACTAATAGTAACCAATGATGTGTATGAGATGTCTATGAGATGACTGTAACATGACACAGTAGTATGATTATCTTTATATAGGCAGTGTTAATAATAATTTGTTATTTTATTCAAAATAAGTAATTCATTTTTTCACATTTACTGCTCATGTGAAAAAAAAACAAAACCTATGGTTTTTTGACTCATCGACATTAAGAGGAAATACATAAAAGAAGAATCGTCCCCCAACCTAATATAACTGCCATAGTTTCTGGGTCATGCCTACAGAACCCCATTGATAAGTATATAATAATTTTATTACTTCTCGTTACTAATTTGATCAAGTTTTAGCTTTTGACACTGCGTTATGATCTTGTTGAATAGACTTGAAATACTTTCTCTGACTGTTTTTTGTTTCCTTGGCTCAATTTTAGATTGTATGTTAAAATATCATATTTTTATTTAATTTAAAGTATTGAATCCTCAATAGTTAATGAATGAAACCCTCTCTCTCTTTTTAATATATGAAGCAGGATTTTTATCAACTCTGGGTAAAATTGTACAACGTAAGTATTATTTAGTTGTAGTAAATTTACTATTCATTATAACTATATTTTTGCTCAAAGTTTTGTATTGTATTCTACCATTCCCAAAAATATAAGCATATACTACTTTAATATAAAATAATATCTATGTAATTTACTCTCAATAAAGGACTAAAACCCAAAGGAGACGGATACGTTTCCATACATTCTTGGGCCCAGGTGTTAACAACATGAAAGTTGGATCATTTGAAAGCTTGAAAATTTGGCAAGATTTGTCAATCCAGGAGCTGAGTTATTTAAGATTAAGTGAAAGTGAGGTTATATTTTACCTACATTGTAACAGTCGATTTCAGACTATAGATAATATAGTTATTTAACTAGTAAATTAATATTTTTCAAGTATTAAAGGTGATAAAATCTTTAAAGAATAATTATATTTATAAATTCTCATATTATAAGCGTAAGCGGAGGAAAATGCCTACTTACTTCGCCTGTGATATTTTGCTGAAATAACATCAGCTTTTATATTATAAACTGTTCCAAGCTTTCTTGTAATTCAAGTGGTAAATAAATATTCAACCAAACTGGCTACACTTCGAGAACACTCAGGCAATTTGTTTATTCTCACAAATATAATTTTTATACGAAAAAAGGATAATTAGAAATCGAACTGACTTTGGTAGGTTTTTTAAGCAAACATTAATATGACTCAATTACATATCTGCTTACTTACCTAATTCTCTATATCTACCTAATTCAGCCAGACAGGAGTAGGGTGGTGGTTAGGTGGTTATTTAAAAAAAAAAACTTTTTTTTAGGTACTTTAATCGTCATCAATAATTATTAAAATATCATCAGGGAACTGTGCAGGCGGCATTATATTGTCCTGATACCTTGTCCAACTAAGGTACCATATAATTGACATTATATGGGCGCAGCAGCTTACTGTGCGTTTCCTTAAAATACAATTACAATAATATTGAAGAATAGATTCTCGGCCGCTGCGAGAGCTGTCAACCAATATGTATACAAAGTATATTTTGCGGCTAATGTGCCTTGAATTTATTCTTCCTCTAAGCAGCCATGAGGTATTTGAAACAGACAGCTCTCGCAATAGACTGCTGCTAGCCTCCCTGCACACTTCAATTACATAAACATCATTTGCTCTTATGTGTTCACCATAGTAAGAACGTGCCTGCTTCAATTGGTATGTACCTAACGAAATTAATATAATTTCACTATAAGTAAGCTGGGGAAAATCATTCAAATTGTCATTTTGGATACTTATTGCTTGGAAATCAGCCCTGCGCTTATTGTAATTATTTCTTATAATATAATGGGTTCGTTTTCGGTATTCATAAACATATTTATTTGTTAAATTAGTTCCCCAGCATCAACACGGTCTACTATGGGAGGGTGAAAAGCATTTAAAAGAGCAGCAGCCACTTCAAAATCTAACACAATTTTTTTTGCCATTGTATTAGAATAATTTTGTCTTAACAATTTAAAATCACGTTTGAATCTTCCATTGACCACCTCCACAACCCAACGGAATATGGTGACTGCTCTCGAATTATTAGCTTCACTAGTTGATAGTTGTGTTTCACCCTCCCTTAAGGAAGCAGGCACGTAAATTCTGTACCCACATTGGTTTAATATAGGTAATGAATCACGAAAGCCCCTATCCAGTATGAAAGCATCACCTTGCATAAAATATTCTCTAAGTGAGCTTCCGTCTGAAAATTCTTTTCTCATGATGTCTGCATCTGAAGTTGTGGCTGGATAGGGGCCTAAAACGTCTATGATATATCCATCAATGCACACAATTATAAATGGTTTAACTAAGTTTCTATATTTAAGTAAACTATATATCCTTTTTTGGTACAGATAATTAGAACTTTTTTCAATATAGCAATATGTCCCATCAAATATTACAATAGGCCTATTTTCACCTTCAAAATCTCCAAACAAAGCATTCGGTATTGAAAGATTTCTTTCTTTAATTTCTTGCCTATTTATATGGTTTAAACCTAAGTGCTTAGGCACAAAATACTCTGTAAGCAGATGGCGGATTTCTTTCAACCATTTTTCCAGAGTTCGTCTGGACACTTTTAATAATGATGACAATCTATCGTTAGAGTCACCTGTTCTTAATTTAATTAAGTAAGCAGCCAAAGCAACAGACCCTCTAGGTACTTCCGTTAACGGAGGAACCTCATTAAATATTTGATTAAACTGTACTTTATTCAACCCAATCCAAGTATGTGTAACATGGTCTTCCAAATCATCAATACTTTCAAAATTAAGGCATAACGAGGAAGAAGAATCTTTTAAGGACAGCATATCCTGAATATGAATTGCAGTAAAAGTTTGCTGGTAATTATTTCTTAAACTTTCAAGGAAATCCCACCATTCAATTACTAAATGCCGATCACAAAGCCGATTGTTTTCAGGTACATAATAATTATAGCGATTGAGTAACATCTTTTTTTGTGGAAAGAGGAACTCTATACCTTTCTGTTCTGTGACATCCTTTTATAAAACACCTACTTTCTGTTTCAATAGCCCTCATGTAGTCTGGTAACACAATAGTCGATTTAGATTGTGGCAGAGATTGAAGCACAGGTTCAGGAATAGCTTCTAGCATAGTTTGAGGCGTAGGTGGAGATTGCAATTGTTCTTCCAGTGGTATAATTGGAGTATCTAGTAGCTGGGGTTGTATTCGAGGCATGGTATTTTGTCTAGGGGAGGTTGATGGCCCAGAAATCATATGAACAGCAGCTCTGTCTGCTAACACCCAACAAGAATGGCATATGCGACTGGTTTCCGCCACCTACAATAAATAAACAAGATTGAATTTGATAAAAATAATGAAAAAATCTAAAAATTAAAACAGATAAATTAGCTGATTTAACTTACAGTTTGTGGCACAATCCGTTCTCGAATAACATTAAAAATTCTCAATTCACGAGGTGAATTAGTTTGAAGTTGGTGAGTAACACGTTGTGATGACAACGAACGTCCACAGCGGAGACAAACAGTGAAGTGACCTACTGGTCTCGGTTCATCTATAGATCGTCTACCTAAGACCACCCCTTGAGCTAAGCCCCAGCAGGCCTGACATGCATAGTCGTTGTTGTTTACCTGAAAGATAAAAGATTATGTAAAATGAATGTGTGCAGTGAACCACTAAGAATTGACTGTTTATCAATTAATTATGATCAAAGAATAGTACTTACGGGTTCAGGTGCACACCATTCACGGATCACAGATAGAGTTGCTTGGTCAAGTAAAACTCGTTTGCCTATTGTATTACAGCGACCAGTCGCTACGCCACAATTAACACAACGGTCCATGATGACAATATCCAATCGATAGGCTGTCGTATTCCAAATAACAAGGCCGGGTAGTCGTATATAAGTAAGATTAATCGGTGTCCAATAACGAAGCAAGGGTCAATAAAAAGCAGGATCAGTAAGTAAAATCGCGAATGAAAGCCGTGGATAACAAGAAAACGAACGAGTCGAAACTACAAGTGAGTAAATAATTCTGCAGTTTGTACTGTCAAGTGTCAAAACGAGAAGTACTACGAACTATTTAGAAGACGTTAGTCTATGTATCGCTCCAAAACGAGAATTACACTAGTGTGTGGATTCTATATGTTAATCGATTTATTGTTAATAAATGTTTATTTCATTTTTTCCTTATGTAAATAACGTATTTTGATTTCAAAAGGATCCAAATATTTTCATATATTCAAAGTAATATATTTGTTTTAAATTAAATCTTAGTAGCTTTTTTAGTTTATATTTATTTTTATCCGAATAGATTTAGAAACGATTGTATTATTATAATCGATATTCCAAATTATTTCTTATTTTAATGTTTTTTCCCAATTTCTAGATTGTAAAATGAGCTAGTTTTTTGTATTTATACTCAGAAAAATATAAACAATTTTTTGAAGTATATACTGTTAACCGCGCTCAAGTCGACGATACACTAGCGCCATCTAGTGTCAGGAACGAGAGCGAGGGGAGCATTGAGAAAATGACATCACAAATCACTCAACCGACAGCGCCTATTCGAAACTCGAACGCTCGGTACCTTGCGCGTGTTTACTTGAACATTCTGGATATTTCTTTGCTAATTTATATAAGTAGGCGCTGCAAGATGCGAGGGGGCAGAGTTGAACTCGGCGACACAAGCGAAGCTTCGGAGCGGAATTAAGTGAATTAGTGTGTTTAATTATTAGTGTTTTTAGTTTTAATTTGTGTAAAGTAAATTAAAGTGTTAATTTAGGTAATTTTATCGGCAATTTTTATTGTCACGAACCCTAAGCTCGTAACAATTGGTGTCAGAAGTGGGATAAAATAATGCCGATTTTACCTAAGGAGGAAACGGAGGGTGTCCGTACCCGAAGTCAACGCCAGCAGGAGACGGACCAACGAAGATTTGGTGGTGCAATGCCGCAGACGTCGGAGGGCCAGCCACCGGCTGCAGGCCCGTCGGTAGCTCCTACATCTGCAGCACCTGACTTAGGTGCTCTGATGGTGATGCTGCAGGAACAGGTCCGTCAGTTGAAAGAGCAGCTGCAGAGCGGACAAGAGGAACAGGTCCGCCGACAGGAGGAACAGGTCCGTCAGTTGAAAGAGCAGCTGCAGAGTGGACAAGAGGAACAGGCACGCCGACAGGAGGAACATGCCCGTCGGTTGGAAGATCAGCAGGCGGAACAGGCTCGTCGGTCGGAAGAGCAGATGCTCCTCATGAAGGACCTTCACGCTACCTTTGGGAAAGAGATAAGGGACGTGAAGGATAGGGTTGCTCAACACGACAACCGCCTGTCGGAAGCTGAAACCCGAATCGAAGAACATGAAACCCGAATCAACCATGTGAACAATCGGGTTGACAACGTAATGGCTGACGTGAAAAAAACGCTAAACGACCTCAAACTTGGGGATGGAACTACAGCTCCCGTAGTAGCTGCAGCACCTTCGCTACGTGGATTCAAAGTGCCGCCGTTCGACGGGACCTCTTCCTGGTCGGCCTACAAAATCCAGTTCGAGGCCGTCATGGAGGCGAACGGCTGGAATAAAAGCCAAGCCATGACTGCACTCACTCTAGGCCTGCGCGACCAAGCCTTAACTGTGTTGGAAGCTCTCGGTAAGAAAGCGACCTATGAGCAGCTTCTTGAGGCCTTGGAAGCGAGATATGGCGACGCTCATCTGGAACACGTCTTTCGCGCGCAGCTTAAAGATCGCGTGCAGCGCAGCAACGAGAACCTGCAGCAGTGGGCCCTTGAGGTGGAGAAGATGGTTCGAAAAGCATACCAGTCTGTACCTGCGCTCATTGAAGGGAACCTGGTTCAGACATTCATCGACGGCATCCGCGACCTTGAAGTCAGAGCTGCTGTGAGACTCGGGCACCACGACACGCTTAAGAACGCCTTGGCCCATGCACTGGAGGTGGAAGCCGTGCGGCAGGATCATCGTTCGCATCGCAGCAGGGAGGTTGCAGCAGCTACAGTCCGTGACCGCAGCAAAGGATACAGCCCTAGGTGCTATGGCTGTGAGGAAAAGGGCCATCTTCGATCCAGCTGCCCTAAACTAACCGTGGAAAGGAGAGTTGATCGATCTCGAGAGGGTAGTACAGCTAACGGCACTGCCTGGCGGCGACAGGATCATCGTTCACCTCACGCTAGGGAGGTTACAGCAGTTACGGTTCGCGACCACAATAAAAGATACAGCTCTAGGTGCTATGGCTGTGGCGAAAGGGGCCATCTTCTGTCCAGCTGCCCTAAGCACACCCTAGGAAGGGAAGGTGAACGGTCTCAGAAAGGAAGTGCGGCTAACAGCACCGCCCAGCAGCAGCAGGAATACGACTTTACTATCAGACACTGCAGCGGGAAATCTCACGGCAACGCAGATGCATTGACAAGAAGACCTTGTCCTGAAGATTGCAACCATTGTAGTAGGCAAGAGAGTAAGGAAGTGGTATCCGTGAGGATGCTCAGGACAGACCACCTCAGCAACGGGTGGAAGGACAGCCTACGACATGCACAGCAGGAAGATCCGGACATCAAGCCGATTCTGGGATGGATGAATGCCCGTGCTACCAAGCCTAAGTGGAGGGACGTCTCAGCGATGAGTTCAACCACGAAAAGCTATTGGGCCCAATGGGACAGCTTGCTGACTCAGGATGGAGTCCTGTGCCGTAAATGGGACAATGGTCGAAGGGACAGCTGTCGTTTGCAAATGGTTGTCCCTAAAGCTAAAGTGCCGAATGTTCTACAGCTGTGCCATAATGGTCGTTCAAGAGTCCATCTGGGAGTTAAACGAACTCTACTGAAGGTCCGAGAACAGTTTTACTGGGTCCATTATCGTGACGATGTCGAGGATTGGTGTCGTACATGTACAAGTTGTGCGGCCGTGCGGGGACCTCAGACACGTAGTAGAGGAGCACCGAAATTGTACAATGTTGGTACACCACGGGATAGAACAGCCCTTGACATTGCGGAGTCGTTACAGAAAGGCGCAAGAGGGACTCCTAAGATCGTCCATGTGAATCGCTTGGCACGTTATTATGGGGCCGATAATCCTCGGGACGAGCATGTCTTAGGAGGGGGCAGTGTTACGCGCTCAAGTCGACGATACACTAGCGCCATCTAGTGTCAGGAACGAGAGCGAGGGGAGCATTGAGAAAATGACATCACAAATCACTCAACCGACAGCGCCTAGTCGAAACTCGAACGCTCGGTACTTTGCGCGTGTTTACTTGAACATTCTGGATATTTCTTTGCTAATTTATATAAGTAGGCGTTGCAAGATGCGAGGAGGCAGAGTTGAACTCGGCGTCACAAGCGAAGCTTTGGAGCGGAATTAAATGAATTAGTGTGTTTAATTATTAGTGTTTTTAGTTTTAATTTGTGTAAAGTAAATTAAAGTGTTAATTTAGGTAATTTTATCGGCAATTTTTATTGTCACGAACCCTAAGCTCGTAACAATACCAATTTGTTAACTTCGGGCCCAAAAATCCCATTCTCCTTTTGTCTCATTCCATTGGTTTCTCTCCATCCAGTTGAGAAGTGTCAATTTATATTTCAAACGGTTTTATGCGTTAAATGTTTTTTTTTGTAATATTATTAACTACCAATTAAGGTCAGAAATTTGCCACTGAATATATATTACATATCATTATATATACATTATTATATATAATAAGGTTTTAAGCACAACATTATTAACTTCATTTTATTAATAGCAACCATAATGGGTTATGCACAATTTAGTCACTATTTATATCATAAAATTTTTATAGTTCTTAAGTATTTTTACATAATTCCCTCTTACTACAACAATTTTTTTTGCTAACATATTTTGGCAATCAGTGTATGCATCTGTCAGCATAACTCTATTGTGCTTTTACCATACCTAGTTTTAGTTATGAAGGTGATAATAATAGCATGATAGGTATGAATGATACCATACCTAATTTTACTGAATAAATCCATCTTTATTTTATTTTTGAATTATTACTTCACAAATTACTTATTTTTAACTTCTCATAACTTTTTAATATCTTACAATAGAAAATTATTTTCTATAATTATTTTTAAATTTCTTTTTAATTGTTTAATTTACCACTGCTTTAATTAGTGTAATATGTAAGTTTTATATTTTCCCAGATTGATATATTATGTACCGCTGTAGGCCATTAATGCATTTGCAACTCATCATTCTATTTAAAACCTAATGATGCTAAACACTTCTTTCTTTCTTGTAACTTAGATTATATTAAATTAAATAATACAGCTCGAATGCAATAATTTCAATTAATTAATCACGGTCTAGATTTTTATATAATTGCTTATCAGCAGAAATTTCTCTATATTATTTTCTAGTCTTATTATATTAATTGTTATATAATAATTATTATATTAAATTCGTTATACTATCTCAATAACAATAATTTATTGTTTACCTTCTTTACTGAGTTTTTTCTCGATCCGGCCTCCTATTACGCCTACGTTAGGTTCGGGAACAACGTATGTGATCTCCACAACGGAGTAACACTCAAGGGCGATAACCTCTTCCTTTTCAGAAAATAGGTTCAGGCGGGGATTACGGGTCTTCCGAAGTCGTCCCGGTCCCAACGCCTTAATTCTTCGATATGGACTGTATCACTTTAAGGGGAGAATTCCTTGGGCATAAAACAGAAATTATCTTCAAAACGTTCCGTGAGAGAGTAATTACTTTTCCCTATCACTTCCCTATACTTTTTCTTTCTTCTTCTTATTGACTGCTAGTCTTGCACTTTTCCCGAACGAATTGC